CTCTGAAACAGAGGCTTCGACAACAATCTCGGGTTTGTTTGAAATTTGAATTTCCTACACAGCAACTACTTCCGTCTCTCCACTAGCTTTGCTGCTGTTGAATGGCCACCAAGTGGAGCTAATGTTGGCTGCTAACAGCCACCACTGCAACTATCAAGCTCCACAAATCCATTCAGCAGCTCTACCATCCACAGTCAGACACACATGGCTGATTATTTACTGCTGAATTACAGGTCACATCTTGCACCAACAACTGACGCTGCTCCTGTGTGAGTGTTTTTGTTTGTTAGCAAAACATCCTGGTGCAGACTATTTACTGGAGTTTGCGAGCATGTCGCTCATAGAGCATTTGAAGATGATTACAAGCATGGCTGTTCTCAGCCTTTTAATGTCCAATAGTCCACCATGGACATTTTTGTCACATCTTGTCTTGTCAATGAAAATGAAACATAGAGTTGATCTTAGTTTTTGTTATCAAGATCTACTTTTAGCTCGTCATCATCTCATTTTCGTCATGAAAAAAAAAGGATGATGAAAATTTTTGTATTAGTTTTTGTCGATGAAATTAATACTGATTTAGTGGCATCTAGTGGTGAGGATTGCAGACTGCAACCAGCTAAAACTGCCCCCGTTTAGAATTCCTTCAGTGTACATTGTTCAAAAGGTTTTTATTAGGAGCTGAATTATTAAAGCTATAGGGCTCTAGTTTCCCGGCGCAGCGCAGGTGGCGCAGGGTGGCGAAACCTGCGCAGAGCTAGTTTCGAGCAGCGCAACCCGAGGTGCGCTCAGTTTGGTAGTTTGGCAGACCGAGGTGCGCTGAGATGGGTGTGGCGGTGCAGCAGGGGGAGGTGTCGACAGATCCAGCTTGGAGCAGTGACAGTTTCGTGCCAAAAGGCTTCGCCGAAGGTGCGCTAAAAGCTCGCCATCTGAAACCAGGTCTACTGTTAGCGCAGGGGGATCGCAGCCGGTTTAAGCCGAAGTTTGGCTGACCGGCAGACAGTGCGCACACATCACCAAAACCTCACAGGCAGGTTTCCAGAATGTCAGGCACATTAAAAATGAAAAAAATAACCAAAAAACCACTATTCAATACAACTATCTGCAATCAGCACATAAATGTATCTCTATAACGACTGTCCCGTCACATCTGATGTCAGATCAAAGGGGACTGGCACCGTTTGGCACACGTAATGGAAACCGAACCTGATTTGATCAACACAGCCTGCAAACTAATAAGTTCACATCCCTCTCAGCCAACCACAAACAGCCACAGCATCAGATAGGGAGTATATATTCAGCATCTGTCATCTTAGAAAAGTCAAAAGAAAAGAAACAGAGTGAGACTGCGAGAGAGAAAGAGAGAGCGCGCGCACGAGAGAAATGCAACATTGATTTACAATTGTGGTGACCTCCTCCCAGGCTACCTTTGCATCATCAGCCCGTGGAAGTCTGCTCGCAGTTCCGTATATTCGGACACTGTGAGCTTGGACCTCCCAGACCAAAACATAAGTTTCCTCCTGGGAGAAGTTTGGCTGTCTGACGCTGCTGCTGTCTTCTGCAATGGCGAACTGAGTAAACTCTCATTACACCTTCGCGCGGCGCATTTAAGGGCGAGGAGAGGGGCTCATTTGATTGGTGTGATGTGTGTAAAACCCACTCCACGCCTTCTCTCCTCCCTCTTTCCGACTTGCGGCAGTAGGAGGGACGGAGGTGGGAAAGAGGAGTAGCTGTGCCACTTTATCCAAAGCCTTTTTCATCACAGCCTTTTCTGCCTCCGACTTTCTTTTCTCAGTCTGTTTAGCGGGGCGAGCCGTTACAAGTAACGCTGGAAGAGGTACTTTTGGCTGCATTTTCTCTGCCATTGTTCAGCAAACTTATTCTCCTGCTAACTTGGTATTTCTGCTGAGGAGTGTGCTGAATATTTCCGGCAACGGTGACGTGATGAGTGCACACAGGGAGGAGGGAGGGAGGGACGGAGGGGGGCTCGGGCAGGACGAGACATGAAGGCATCTGATTGGTTCTTTCCACTCGCACCGATTTTTTTCATTCCTTTTTCTGAACACATTATATATTGACTACTCTCAGGATGGAAGGACCATTTCACCCAGTATAACAACAAGTGTTTCTGAACAGGATTACCAACTATAGCTTTAAGTAATTTCACAGTAGATATCGGTGTTTTTTAATGCTGTTTGGCCTGTCTTTGACAAGCACCTGCTAATTTGTGCTCATCTTTTTTTTTTTATCCAGACCTTTAGAGAGTTTTTTCTGGGAGCTGAATTATCCACAGAGGTCTTTTCCTCTTCTAAATTAAACAGACCAGATCATTTAAACTGGTAAAAAAAAATACTGAATAACACAGTTTTAGTTATAAATCAGTGTTTCTGTGACACTGTTAGGCTCATCAGAGATGGGTGGCTAGCCCAGCACCTGCTAATGTCTGCTCATCCTTTTCCACTAATAATTTAAGATCCATACATTCAGTTGGTTTTTACTGGGAGCAGAATTATCTGCAGAGGTCTTTTCTTCTCCAAAACAAGTGGACCCAGTGATCCATGTAAAAAAAAGTGACACTGCTTGCCAGGGAGGAGCTGCTAACTGCGGTGGCTGATGCGAAAACACAAAAACATGCATGGTCCTATCTAGAGCCAGTGTTTGTTTGTCTGTGCTACTACTTTAGAAACATGTCGGCCTTCCGCTCTCTTTGTAGATATACTTGGCTCATTCTAAGTTAACACAAACATGATCTGTCTTATTTTTAGGTGAAATGCACCTGTGAAATGAAGAAAGTTTAGTTCTGTCTTCCATCACAATACCGTGTGTTGGGTGCCATAGAACAATGTTTGTTTTACTGAATTTGTATTGAAAGGAAATACTAGTTATTTCATCTCAATGCCAAATGCATGAAAGGAGTAATGATGTGTTTATAACTAAGGCTCTAATCTTCTGGTTTACAAGCTGTAATGTTGCAGGCAACATGAAATACCAGGCTTTGGAATGCCAGTTAGGTGTCACTGAGTTCAGCACAGCTCCTTGCTGTCAGTGAGTACATTTACATGCACAAAATATTACGGATTTCGCCCTTGTTCTGAAGAAGACGATATTTTACATGGCTAATATTCCACTAATAATCCCGGTTACATGCAGCCCTGTATAATCCAAGTAACGCGCCCCAACATGCAGTTGTCGTGATGAAAAGTGTTGCCCTGTCGAATAGTGTTTGCCTCCCAATAATGCAAAGTGCCCATAGTTAGGGTTAGGGCCAAGGGTTTGGATATGGGTTAGGTAGGGGGAAACACATATCAACTGGGAAACAGACTTCTATACAACACCTTTTATCACGTCAAAATGCTGGAGCTGCTTGTCATTTTGCGTCTTTGCATTAATAGGATTTTTTCAAAGTTTCCTACCAGTTGTGTTGACTTGTTTGACCATCTGAGCAAAGCATCCCTCTTTCATTCCTTCAGCCACCTTCTTAAAAAAATGTCGGCATTGGGATATTAACAAATACCCTAAAAACTGTCGATATCTCACCCTTTCATAATGTTTTAAAGTAGGTGCGTTTCTCCTTCTGACCAGAAATGTGGGCTTTACTTTTGGGCATGCACGTCTAGACCAGCTTCGCGAACTGCTGGGGAGTTGGTTTGTGCACAACGTATACATGACAATGCACACAGCCGGCTGTAGGCCCGTGTCACAAACTGCGGCCAATAAAAACCATTTGAGACGCATGTTTGGAATGTGCTGTGTACATGTCCAAATAATGCTGTTAAACTAGGACTGGGTGATATGGACAAAAATTCACATCTTGGTATTTACAGGCAGACTGGCGATACACAAAAAATATCTCGGCTACATGTTTTCAGTTGCAGGTCAAAGTCAAATTTTAGATGTCTCCAGCACTTTTATAAAACCAGACTGTGATCAAAATAAAATGCAAAGACAGGGATTTCATTACCCTTTTTGAAAATAGACAGCTGCACAACATTTAAATGAAAAATGATATAAATTAAATAGCAGGGCTGTATATTAACGTTTTGAACATACCATTGGAGCCACAGAGGTTTAAAGTTTTGCAGCACAGATCACAAAAGTATATCACGAGTATAAAAGTAGGCCTAAATCCATTGGAATTTAAAACAATTAAAAATCTTTGTGATTTAAATATTTTTATTTATTTAGGCTATTAATCTTATTTATGCACAGCGCATCAAGAGAAAGACTGAGGGAGAGAAGCAGCGAGAGACACTTTGTCCGTGTTATACACATCTTGTATTTGATACGCCTGTGTTGTTGCTGTATTTTTTTAAACAGATTTGTGGCCTGCAGGCGCTGTCTCAGTGTCACACAATAGACTACAACTGCCAAGAACGATGATGTTCTATGATCCACCTCACACACTAACTAGCAAACAAACGTTCACCTGACACACACAGTTGCACATGTGCTACTGTGGTTATTTCACTCAACTCACAGACTGATTTAGTGTAGCACGTGCAATATCTGGACTGATGTCATACTGTAGACTAATGAACAGACAGATTAAACAGAGTTGCAGTTCTATGTCTCTTTTATTGTGGCTGGAGAACTTGTGAGTGAGTGTGTGAGTGAGTGAGTGAGTGGGGCAGAGCTGTACAGAGAGTGTGTCAGAGGAGAGATGCACACTGACCGGCGTTATGTAATGCTACCTGACCCTATATCGATAAACAGTGTTGTTTAAATCCATTTCTTGCTTGGAAATATATCCATATATCGCACATAGTGGTTACATTGCCAAGCCCTATATTAAAACCTAAATACAGTAATATCAACATGTCCCAAATGTCTTAATTGTAAATTTGCCACGCTTAGAAGAAAGCCTAATTTGGAACATCCAAAAAACATATGTTCTTAACACGACCTGCATCAATTTCAGATTTTCTGAATGATAGTGGAAAATTAGTGTGCATGTAAACATAGCCGGTGTTATGTTGAGGTTGATGTATGGTTTTCCTGCACAGGAAGCAACACTGGCATCGGCAAGGCCACGGCTCTGGAACTGGCAAAGAGAGGAGCCAGGGTGATCCTAGCCTGCCGCAACAAGGATAAAGCTGAGTCAGCTGCATATGACATCCGTAGAGTAAGTACTCTGATAACTATAGATTGCTGAAAAGTAGACATTGGAGGCCGCTGTTCTGTCATTCATGAAGAGCACTAAGAATTCCAATTCAGATGTCACTTGTTAGTAATATTTATGTATCTAAAAATTGTTACTAAATAGTATTTAATCCAGATAAACTCCAAAGTGTGGACTCTATTCAGCCTACTCTACCACTGATGTAAATGATAACCTCTCATTATTATTCAATACAGTTCACAAACTGCAGCTTTCAAAATGATCAAACAGTTGAATCAGTGTCTCTAAAATAGTCTCAACATGAGGTGAACAGTAGAAACATCATGAAGTTGAAATTAATAGTTTTATTAGACTGCACTAGTTTTAGCTCAGCATCCCTAATAAACTGGCATCTGATTGTAGTATTTATACAGTTACATAAATTTTTTTTGTTGAGACTGCATCCCAGAACCAGCACCTTTGTACCTAACCTACAGTTGGACTTGCCCATAGCCCTTGCACGTCTGTAATAATGTGGAAGGGAGATGTTGTGATAATCACGATGTGTAGGTGTTTTTTTTCTAATCAATTTAAACACAGTAACTGCCTGTGAAATGACCTGAGCCTTCAGGAGACTTAACACTGTCAAGACCACCCAGCCTGCGGGAAACATTGTATTCTATATCAGTCAATCAATCAATCAATCAATTTTATTTATAAAGCCCAATATCACAAATCACAATTTGCCTCACAGGGCTTTACAGCATACGACATCCCTCTGTCCTTAGGACCCTCACAGTGGATAAGGAAAAACTCCCCAAAAAAACCCTTTAACAGGGAAAAAAATAGTAGAAACCTCAGGAAGAGCAACTGAGGAGGGATCCCTCTTCCAGGACGACAGACGTGCAATAGATGTCGTACAGAACAGATCAACATAATAAATTAACAGTAATCTGTATGACACAATGAGACAGAAAGAGAGACAGAGAGAGAGAGAGACAGAGAGAGATCTGATAGTATACAGTACAGGCCAAAAGTTTGGACACACCTTCTCATTCAATGCGTTTTCTTTATTTTCATGACTATTTACATTGTAGATTCTCACTGAAGGCATCAAAACTATGAATGAACACATGTGGAGTTATGTACTTTCAGGTGACTACCTCTTGAAGCTCATCAAGAGAATGCCAAGAGTGTGCAAAGCAGTAATCAGAGCAAAGGGTGGCTATTTTGAAGAAACTAGAATATAAAACATGTTTTCAGTTATTTCACCTCTTTTTGTTAAGTACATAACTCCACATGTGTTCATTCATAGTTTTGATGCCTTCAGTGAGAATCTACAATGTAAATATAGTCATGAAAATAAAGAAAACGCATTGAATGAGAAGGTGTGTCCAAACTTTTGGCCTGTACTGTATATGTATATATATATATATATATATATATATATGTTTTCATCAGTAATTTTCAGTTCTGTTAGATGTGTGTATTACAGCCAGACTGAGACAGCATATATGTCCTTCAGGAGAGTGGGAACAATCAGGTGGTGTTCATGCAGTTGGATCTCGCGAGTTTCAAGTCTGTCCGCAGCTTTGCTGAAATTTTCCTGAAGTCTGAACCCAGACTGGACATCCTCATCAACAATGCAGGTGAGGATGGTAAAATGCTGTGGATTATCCCTCCTTGGTACATTATTATTTCAACGTAAAAACAAGATAAAAATGCACAGGTAAAGGAAACAAAATCAGTTACATTTGTCTTTATCACAACAGTGCTGTAAAATTGAATTACACTGACTGATTGAACCCCTCTGTTTCAGGTGTGATGGGTCCAGGACGTACCGAGGATGGATTTGGCATGGCGTTTGGGGTTAACCACCTGGGTCACTTCCTGCTCACCAACCTTCTCCTGGAGCGCCTGCAGCAGTGTGGTCCCAGTCGCGTGCTCACCGTGGCCGCACTGCTGCACTGCTTTGGCAGTGTTGACTTCCCTCTGTTGGCTTCCAGGAAGGACTTAGTATCTGGTCAGTCCACCTGGCACAACTTTCAAGCCTATTGCAACAGCAAGCTGTGTAATGTGCTGTTCACCAGGGAGCTGGCCAATAGACTGGAGGGTACCGGTGTCACCTGCTACAGCCTCCACCCAGGTTAGTGCCTTCTGCACATTTTATAAAGGAATGTTGGCTGAGGTAACAGATCCTCTGGCAGTTATTTTAGAAGTTAAAACCAAGCTGGGAAGCATTTTCATTTGCATTTGTCTCTTCTGTTTTACAGTTTCAAGTCTGTTGTGCCCCTCACCACTGCACACAAGTCCACAAGGCTTTTAGCTATTTTAATGCTAACAAGAAATGACAGAATGTTGACATCTTTCAATCAGACCACACAGTTTAAATCGTCAGAGAATGTTAGTGAAAGTGAAGAGCACTTATTTTCTTAAGCTGTTTTCAGATATGGAATAGATTGCATTACTGGCTTCACCTATTTATTACAATGATGGCCTTCTGTTGTAAATGTATGTAAATGTGCCATTATAGCTTCATTTAGACATGACATATGCAGGAGACACAGTACTAGTGTGATATTGTCACCTGTTGCACGAAAGAAAGCATGTCACTGCTGAAAAACAGCAGTAGTTGGAAAAAAAAAAGTCAGCATTTTTTCTTGTTAACAGGCTGAATCAGTGATAGACTTTAATTCAGTTGAAGCCTTAATTAAAGATAAACTACGGAGGATTGTAAATCACTGTTTGTAAACACTGAAAAAGAGAGTAAAAGCCAACCCCAGATTCACTCTCGTTTGGCATTTTGCCTTATGCAGGTGGGACACAGGTAATATTGCAAAAGCAATATTTGCTTTTTTCTTGCATTTTGACTTCGCAACTCACTGTCCTCAACTGAAAGCATCTGGTGATATCTGATGATGATATGCCAGTCATTATTAACACAGTGGCAGCTTCTCACAGTGGCATCAACAGATCTTCAAAAAATCATTTAATTGTCTCACTGTATAGAGTGTACAGTTTGCTTTTAGTCTTTAAATCAGGAAGCGAACTACATTTTCTAGTCATAGTCATTGTTGTTCACACTTGTTGTTGCTTAAGTATTAAGGACCCCCAGTATGGCTGCCACTAGATCATATTAATGTCAGAACAGTATCTGAGTGTACATCTTGCAACTGAAAGAACAAATTACCTGTAAGCCAAGCTGTGTTTGACAGTAGTCATGAAGCCAAACCTTATACGTTTGTATCATCTCCTCTTCCAGGAGTCATCTACACAGAACTGTGTCGCAGTCTGAGCCTGTGGCAGCAGCTTCTCCTGATGCCCTTGGCCAAGCTCTTCTTCCTGGATCCTGAGGGGGGGTCCCAGACCACCCTGCACTGTGCCCTGCAGGAGGGCATTGAGTCCTTCAGCGGACGCTACTTCTCTAACTGTGCACTGCAACAGGTGGGAGCCAAGGGACGAGATGATGCTCTGGCAAAGAAGTTGTGGGAATTGAGTGAGAGGTTAACTGGTTTATCATAACAGACTGAATCCTAATCCAGTGTGATCGCTCTGTGCCTTATCAGAGACCTTAACAGGCCTCCAGTGTCACCGTCGTACTGTTGGTCTGTTTCTTTAAGGGCTGGTTTCTAATGGTCTTATACATGTTTGACATAGGGAACAGAAAGCAGTGCAGTGTTTTACTATTTCTATTATCTGCATAACCTTACATTTGTTCCTGTTGTTTAATAAAAGGCAGTTATCCACAAAGACATGTCACGATTGCACTTGTGGTTCAAGCACATTTTCTTACTGAAATGTTACTCGGCCAGTATGAAGAAAAATTGCTTTTGGGTAAATGCTCCATCAGACTAGAAAGTGCCACTGCAAATGTCCTTCCTCTGCTCTAAATAAATGGTGCTGGCTCCTCAGTAACACTTGCTGTTCTTACTAGACAACACGTTAGCACAGTTAATCCAAGATAACATATTATATTTATACCATTTACTTTTGTCTCACAACTGTCTGCAAACCATTCCACATCTCATGTGGAGCAGTTTATACCACAAAAGGGGAAATAATATGAAACGAGATATGCAGCGCGGCTAATATGATAGCCGAGAGGTCAGCCTGTCAAGACAGTTTGGTCAAAGGTACAAATTCACACGTTAGAATCATAGACTGTATAAAAAAGATGGACAATATGACAGTCCCTCAAAAGTGAAGCCAAAACATCTGAGTCACCCCCAGTGGCTGGCTGCAATATAGGTCATAAACTCCGCCCCCTCCATGTTAGTGGATGGGAAATGAGCCAATCTAAAAACTCAAAGTACACGTCTGTTCTTATCACGCTGATGTTTAAGTCTTCCTGTTTTTGATGTGTGGTTATAATTATTATTTGATGCAATAAAAAGGGGATTGATATTATGATTGACAGCTCTGTGTGACAATTAGTGTGCTTGCTAGCAATGGTGCTGCTCATAAGGCCAGCTGTGGTTCAGAGGCGGAGCAGGTTGTCCACTAATTGGAAGATTGGCGGTTCAGTCCCTAGCACCTTCAGTCTGCATGTCGAAGTGTCCTTGGACAAGATACTGAACCCCAAATTGCTCTCGATGGCTGTTCGGTTCCACCAGTGTGTGAGTGGGTGAATGTGACATGAAGTGTAAAAGCGCTTTGAGTGGTCAGAGGACTAGAAAGGCGCTATACAAGTATAGCCCATTTACAATTCTTGATTGGGTTGTACAGATGTTTGGGTGGTAACTCTGCACCACAGAGATTGCTACTGCTTGACTCTGGCTCCAAATCACATCAGCAGTGCAAGATGGCAGCGGCCGTATCCGGGATATTTTGGCTTCATTTTTGTACAGTGGGGGTACAGCAGAGATGCACTGTCCCTCTTTATGTACAGTCTATGGTCAAAATTCACCAAAGTTTAAATCTTCATAAAACATCAGGACATATTTTGTTGACAAATCCACTGATGAGGGCAGTTCCATTGAAATGAACTGCTTTCTATCACAATTTTTAAATCATGATATTTTGGCTTGACTGGGCCCCAATGTGAGATGTCTACCAACTATCAGCACCAGTGTGGTGTTTTACAAACTACTACTACTTTACTACTTCATCTTCAAGCTGTACTGTAGCACTTAAAACTTAAAATATTTATGATGCTGTAAATGCTGTGTCAGCAGCAGTGGTGGAGGAAGTATTCAGATCCTTTACTTAGTACTAATACCACATTGTAAAAATACCAATAAAAGTTTTGCATTGAAAATGTTACTCAAGTAAAAATATGTAAAGACAATCAGGGAATTGTATTTAAGTACTAAAAGTAATAAAATAATTAAACTAATTCAAAGGAAAAGCAGCAAGTCCTCATATTTGAGAAGCTGGAAATATGAAATGTTTTTTGCATAAAAAATGACAAACAATTATCAAAATAGTTGCCAGGGTAGGGTAATCGTTTCAGATGCACTTGTAGATTTCCATTTAGTTTGTGTGCAAAACTCTTAATTTGTAAAGTTAATGAAATGATCAGATAACTGTAGTAGAGTAAAAAGTGCAATATTTTTTGTAGTGGTGCAGAGGCAGAAAGTGACATGTAAAAGGGTTAAAAGTAAAAGTACCTCAAATTTGTACTGAAGTACAGTACTTGAGTAAATGTACTTAGTTACAATCAAGCACTGGTTAGCATAGGGACACACAGTAACTGAAATTACAGCAATTGGGATAAGTGGAGAAACTATAGTAGTGCTTCTTTAGCCCACAAATTTAATAATCCAATCATTTTATGTTCCTCAAATTTAAAACTTTAGTTTGCTTTTGTTGGGCAACACTTTGTGGACGGTGAAAACGAGAGGCTGTTTTTTTTTTCTCTTATCTTGGTGAAAGTGCTCTAGACCATTTGTAAAATTCTCAAACGCAAAACATTGGTAAATTCCAGAAATCATTAAGTTTGAACCAAATAACACCAAATCATAGACACGGCCAAAAACAGAGAGAATTTGTTCGTATATCATTTCTTGCATGAATCTCAATATCACTGACTCGGTGGTTGGAGATACTTTTCACATTCTGCTGCTGTCGATGACCCTGTTGTGTTAAACCTGTGCTAATAAAGTTTGTTCACTCCTGAGACAGTATAAAGTGAGTTACTGAAGAACAGAGAACAAAACTGCAGATTTTTTTAATTTTTTTATGATCTGCCACATCGCTCCATGTTTCTACATGTCGAGTGGTTTTCCACAGAAGGACAGACGGCTGTGCTTGTACCAGATTTTATCAGTGATTGTCATCTTCAGCTCTGATTGCTATTGGTCACAAATTCCAGCTATTCAAAATATGTCACTTACAATAACAGATGACTCAAAAAACTATCCAACCTAGTTAGAATGACTCTGCAGAAATCAGCGAATTACATGGGAACTGACTTTGACCTAACTGCAGTAGGTAACTTTTACATAAAAGACAAATTGCAGAGGTATATAGGTTGAAGTCAGTAACTAACTATTTAACAACACAAGGAAATGTGTTTTCTGTTAGGGAGGTTTGGGTAACATCTTGTTAGAGGTGGTGGGGTGTGTAGGAGGAACACCCCTTTTGAACTTCCCCTGAACCGGGATTATAAATGAACAGACCAACGAGAGACCATTGGAGGGTCAGCCATATGCCAAGAAGAGGTAAAAAGGTCACTTGAGACTCCTCTTCCTCCCTGTCACCCCAGGAAATCACATCCTCCACTCTCTTACCAAGTGTTTCTGTTGTAACAGACTTGAAATGTCTCTTGGAAGTAAAATTATACATTTTATCCATGTTTTAACATTGTAAGTTTGTATAATCCTTGTTTGTTAGTTGAATGATGTTTTTTTTTATCTTGTAAACCAAAATATCAGAAAATTACGTGTTAAACGTTTTAATCCCTCATCTAACATGGAGCCATACTGCCATCTTGTGACGGTAGTTAAGCGGGATTCCCTTAAGGAGTCCCATATTATATTTAGAGTTAAAGTATAGTTGGATTGATTAATCAACTTGTTTTAATGAATATGTGCCTTCTCATTCTGTTTTATTGCAACTGCAACTTAGTCTAGAGTGCGTGTATACGAAACAGTTTATACCTGTGTTCCGCTGATATATGCGGTATAATAATCATATTAAATTTAATTTGATGTTAAGAGCCGATTTTGATCATAATGGGAAGAGTATGTGTCTATTGCGTGTAACTTGCTAAAGTATATAATCTCACAAATTAAAGTTTCATTAAAGGTTCATTAAATTTCCTCCGAAATAAAGTAATGTCTAGACTAAGAGGCCTGCCCCACTTCAAGGGGTGGGATAAAACAAGTGAGCTTGGCGCATCTCAACACTCTTTTTTCCCTTTACTCTCTTCACTCTTTCCTGTCTCGTCTCTTACTCTTTTTTTTTTTAGGGTCGGGGCAGCTAAGCTGCCAGGACACTATTGTAATCCTTCTTCTTCTTTTTCTTCTTCTTCCGAGGAAATCATACTTCCCATGGGTGAAAACTCACCAAACTTTGCACAAAGGTCCAGTCTCATGCCAGATATCCTCAGCTGTAAACTCAAGCCAATAGTCCTGATGGTGGCGCTACAGCAAGCATCTAAAGTTCAAAACTTTGAAAATTCATAACACATCAACCATATGTGCTACAACTTCACAACTTTCATCAAACTGTAGCCCCAATACTGAAGAAAGCCAAGTCCCTAAATTTTAAGAAATTGTAGTTTTTGTACTACTACCCCAAGCTTTGGTAAGTGGGTCAAGCATGACCCAGTTATGGAACTACCAGTTTCTGGGTGTGATCATTGCACACAGTTCATTGCATTTCCCACACCTAATGTTGAATTAGGATTGTGATCTTTGTTACGTGGGCAGATCTGACAACTCAATATTGTGTGGACTCTACGACAGAACAAGCCAGACATGCCTCCTCTGATGAAGGTTTCCAAGTTCAGGGAGGTTCACAGTGCAGAACTTGGATTCACTGGCAACTTTACCATGTTCAGCTATGTGAAAGATAGATAGATAGATAGATAGATAGATAGTCCATAAGGGTACTTGAACAAGTGATCCTCTGGTACCCAAGCCAAGTCCCTATGGACTCAGCTACTGCTGCCCTGGTTACCTAACCAAAGCCAAGGGGGCTATGGTTAAGTAAGTTTGTTTTTTGGCTGAAAAATATCCTTTTTTTTTGACAACAAAATCCCTGCTAGACACAGCAACAGGTTGCTACAAAACATCAACATTTAATTAAACTTTACATTTAATAAACACTAAAGTTCAGTCGTGAACCATTTTCCCTAGATAAGATCTTAAAAGAAATCCAGGGTCTATCTTCTCCATTAGTATATTATATTATATTTCCAATTCGTCATAATGATACATTTAACTGACATAAAAGCTAGAGCAATAATGTGCTGTGTAAGCTTCGACTGTTTATTTTCTATCCTTGTGCCTAAGAGGCAAACTGATGGACACTGAGGTATTTTCACATCCAGGATAGAAGACAAACTTAATATCACCTTGTCCCAAAAACATCTCACAGGGGGGCAATGCCACAACAGATGCATGAGTGATCCTGCCTCACCACAGCCTTGCCAAGTTCAGGTCCAATTTTACTGGCAGGCAGTTCTATATGGCCATGGATGAACACTCCTCTGATAAAGTTAACCTTACATGTGGTGTCCTGCAGAGTTCTATTTAAGGCCCAGTTCTCTTCAGTCTGTATATACTGCCACTCAGGAATACAATTAGAAATCACAACATCTATTTCCATAATTATGAAAATTAAAAAAAACAAATATCAAAATTCAAATGACTATAGTTCGATCAATAATCTGACTACATGTGTATGTGACATAAGTTTGTAGATGGATCAGAACTTCTTACAGTTAAACCAAGAAAAAAAAGAGATTCTTGTTACTGGAGCAAAAGCAGAGAGAGAAAAACTGTCTAACCACCTAAAATTATTTGCACTGAACACCAAGGAACATTAAAAAAAAAAAACCTTGGTGTTATCGTTGATCCTGACCTCAACTTTGAACAACACATTAAAACTTGAGTAAAGTGTCCTTTTATCACTTGAGGATATTGCCAAAGTCAGACCGTTTCTCTCTCATGCAGATAGAGAAAAGTTGATACGTGCTTTTATCTCCAGCCGACTGGGCTATTGTAACACTCTTCTGTCTGGTGTCTCCAAGAAAACCATTGATAAGATAAAGCTCGTACAGAATGCAGCAACATGTGTTCTGACAAAAACCAAACAGAGAGCCCACATTACTCCAATCTTAAAATCATTACGTTGTTACCTGTCTGTCACAGAATTAATTTTAAAATTCTTTTATTGTTTTTTTAATCACTGAATGGCCTTGCCCCATCTTATCTGTCTGACATGATCAAGATGTATGTGCCTGCTAGGTCCCTATCCTTTTGATTGCTCCAGAGGTCAGAACTAAATGGCATGGAGAGGCAGCCTAGGGGCTTTTTTGTTTATTTATTTATTTATCATTATTATTAACAATAATAATGATAATTTATATATGGTTTAATCCTTCCTCTATCAAAAATGTTTTGATTGTCATTTATGTGATTATAATTTTATGCATGAATTGTGCTGTATAAATGAAGCTATTATTATTGTTGTTGTCGTTATTGTCATTGTTAGCGTTATTATAATTATGTGTTAAAGACAGTTGCATCTTTATTATACACTGGCAAATGACTGCCAGCAGAACAGCGTCTTTAGGCTGCTATGAGAGTTACCAGTCTTGCTGGGCAGGAGAGGCAGACCAAATACAACAACTGGACTTGGTCCAACAACTGTAAGACAGAGACAAGTCTAGGTCAAAAGACTCATGAGAACATTTAAGTGAAGCATTTATATGTCACACACACATCAGCAGAATCACTGTATACCCAAACACATTCTTACATTTAATTGCATGACACATTAAAGGGTGTGTACAGTAAACCAGTAAACAATCTGAATCCAATAGAGGCTGTCTATGTCCAGTGTGTCCACACGGGGGCAATAGTGTAGCACAGTTGAACGACATCTCTTTATGCTGCTCCTTGGCCGTTGTTGCTTGGAGCAAGGTTGTTGAGGACCTTAACCCAGCAGACCTATGGATTCTGTTCATTATGAGAGCTGATTATTAACACGGGTAGGCATGAAAGCCGGGTCAGTTGTGTGTGTTAAGAGAGGTGCTCTTGTAATTACTCAGTAGGACATTCTTCTGTGCAGGCTTCTCCTTTAACCTCAGTGTTGGTGGGGAGGAACACACTTCCACGATCGATTCCTATCTCCTCCTGCCTTCAACTATCCCTCTGTCCCCTTCCTTCATCGCCTCCCACTCCTGACCCCCACCCACGCTGTCTCTGCTGCATGCTGGAAGGACCTGTGGTAAACTTGAATCCTCATTGAGAAACACCTTTAATGACAATCTTTTCTTTATGTAGTTATGGTTCAGCACTTCACTTCACCTGTTCCAGCAAACAGTTATAGGCTAGAGGTCATTAAGCTCAACATTAACCCAAACAAGAATACAAAGTTCAACACAAACAGTTACAAGGAAGACAGTGACAGATGCAAGACATTATTTCTGGAAATTTATGATGCCATTCAGTTTTTTAAATGTCATTTTTCAATGCTGTTAGCGCTACAAGCAGAATTTCACTCCCCTCTACTGTTTCTTGGATTCAAGTAGAAATCTTCAGACCTTAGCAAATGAAACAAAAAACTCTCTGCATAGCCAGATTGCGCTAAAGGCAGGAGAGAGCAAGAGTTTTCTATCAACTGGGCGAACCAACCTTTTACTGGAATATCAAAGAATAAAAATACCACTCCTTGAACTTGGAAATTTCTCAAACAAAACATTTTTCTTTCACAAGCTGTATGCTATTGTCTTGTTCTGGTGGCACCTAGCTTGGCATGGCATGGCATGGCAGGATGGTGGTTGTGACTCAGCAGGTAGAGGTCCATTAAGCGTAGGGTTGGCTTCTCCTGTCCACATATTGCTTTGTCCCCTGGGACACACAACACAATGAGCTCTCTGCATCGTTCCCTGTCTTTGCAAACGTGTTGAGCTTCCCCAAGCTTGAATGTACACTCTGCAGGATT